CCCCAAAACCCCAAAACCCCAAAACCCCAAAACCCCAAAACCCCAAAACCCCAAATCAGTTTATTTAAATTGGAACTATTTTAATAAAAATTATAGAATATGTCCTTCGTTATTTGTAGTAAGCCGTCGATAACTTTGACCATAATATTCAACTCATAACTTTCCTACTTCTCCTTAAATATTATTAACTTGTTTTCAAGGGCCTGGCTCCATTTATTCCATGAGCTTAAATAGAATCCATAATTCGGACACCAATCTAGGTTTTATTATGAAGTAAAAATAACTGATTATGGTTTTTACTTGACATGTAATACATTAACATATCCTCAACTTAATATTTATAGAGAAGATTATCCTTGCACTGTCTCTCCTGTTGTTCTGCTATTGCTCAGAAGTAGAAACAATGATTATGAAAGAACCTACAAGCATGACCAATAATGTACCAACTGATATGGAACTTTATCAAAATAATCTTGATTCCTCTCCTCAGCACAGATACCTAAGTAAAATTGGGGATGAGCTAAAAGACACAAAAGCTTCACCTAAAAATGGGGTAAAAGTACTAGTACTCCTACTGCTGGTTGCTTTAACAATAACACTCTGTCTCTATGTCAATAAAAAGCTTCGAAATTATATTGATAATGATAACTCTGTAGCCTTGACCCAGGCACGCCAAGGCCCTTTCAAGATGCTCACTAAGAACAGCTTCGTCAGATTTAAGGACGAGGAAACTGAGGAGTCCGTTGTCCTTGAGACAGAGCCTGAGAAAAGGTAAGTTTCTTAAACACTTTTCATAATATGGTTCATCTGACAAAACCTAGATTCGAAAAGGAAGACTTTGGCACAGATATAGAGAAGTCAATGGAGAACACCAAGAGAAAGTTCTGAATTAAAGATATCCTCTCGCAACAGATAATTATCGACGAGAGAAAGCACCAAATTAGTAAAAGAAAATCAATGCTAAACCAGCCACTCTCAAAAGTTAATGATGAAGGAGGCATATTCTATGAATTAGATATTGAAAAGGGCACTGACAGGGAGAATAACATATTTAACAAAGAGAAAGAGATAGTTGTAAAAGACATCGTCCCAACGACAGCTTCGACTTCTTACAGACAGTCCCCATTATAGTTTAATTCATATTTCATTAACTCATTCATGGCCTGGGGTTTTGGGGTTTTGGGGTTTTGGGGTTTTGGGG